AAGACAGAAAATAATTATTATTTTGCTTTAGGAAAGCTCATATACAAATAGGGATAACAAAAATTAAAAGTCACGATTATCGTCGTCCAAAACTACATTACAAACAATAAAATCGATCATGAGGGTTAATTACTTTATTACCTTGCTGCTACTTTTCGGTGAAATATTGTTGGAAAATGGACTTGCTGCTTTCATCATCCCATTCTAGCGCCTCCCACCATTCCTTCCTTCCTTCAATCTTACGCAAATTACTGTTGTTGGCACTGTTGGAGCCAAATGGGAGCTTCTTCAGCTTTGGACATTCTACCATGTGAATTTCCATTAGGCACGGAAGAGGCAAGGCACCGGGGTAGATGTCTTCTAATGCCGGTAGATCCCAAAGATATAAAAATTCAAGATTTGAGAATGGTATCAATATTTCTTCTGCATTTATTATCTTTTTTAGTCTTGGCAGCTTCAGTAGCCAAAGCCTTTCAAGCTTGTGAGTATGACGAAGCCAGGTTAGGTCCTCCAACACCATACAATTATTAATTTGAATATATTGGATGTTCTGTAAGCACATGTGCGGCAACTCTATTATCTCTAACTTGGGAAGATGAACGATCTCGAGTAGTAATATCTCTGGCCTCAAGGCTGACTCCTTCTCTGACCCCTTCTTTGTCTCCATTCTCCAACTAATTTCTCTCAACTTTTCGCATTTGAAAAACGCGAGTGTTTTTAGAAACATATTGTCAAGAGTAGTAGTTATGCGGAAAGAGTTGGCCTTGTAATTCCCAAGACAGAGAGCTGTTGTGTACTTCTGTAACTTGTAGGAATTTGACCAACTTTGGAAAGATGTGTCACTGCTAATTGTGACTCGGAAATCAGTTAAGTGTTTTAAGGCTTCAAATACTTCCATCAATCTTGATCTACCTTCCATTTCCCAATCCATAAAATTAGATTCAAATAGGTCCAAATACTGTAGATCCAACAGCTTTAGGATCCCCTCAACTGAAACCACATGAAGATCTCTTGTATAATACAAATTCAAGTACCTCAATTTCCTCAACTTTCCCAACTCGTATGGCAATTCCTTGATATCCGTAAATGAGAGATTGAGGTATTCCAATTCAGCCAATTCAACAATCTCAGTTGGGAACTTTACTTTTCCAAATAAACAATAAGATAAATCCAAAACTCTAAGAGACTTGGTAGATCGGAACAAGCTAGTAGGGAATTCCTTCCTTGAATCATAGGCTACTAAGAAGGTTGCAATTGGAATAAGGTTGGGATACTCTTCATCAGGAGGGACGACCACCTCATCTTTAATTTGCTGCTGCTCTGCATCACTCTCACTATTATTATAAGGAGGACGTGGACGTAGCATAAATATCCTGTTGGCGCCCTGCCATTTGAAGAAAAGCTTATCCATCAACTCTTCATACCTTACCACCAAATGCTTCTTTTTATCATTCCTTCCATAGTCATTGACAATCCATAATGCCATATCCCGGATCACATCATGCATCTTTACATAGTTTTTGCTTAAAAAATAATCATTCCCACCGGGCTCCAACAAGCAGGCTCGTTTTAGAGTTTCAATGATATCATACCCTTCATTCATTGCTTCCCTCATTTCCTCATTTCCTTTTATGAATCCTTCCCCAATCCAATATTCTATGAGACCTTCGATTTTAATAGGAAAATCTTCGGGAAAGAGGGAACAATATAAGAAACAAGATTTAACTTTATCATCTGCCAAGGCATCATAGCTATACTTCAAGATAGAAAACACTTTCTCTTCCATACCTGAAAACTTTGCTGGAGATTTCTGCAACACTGTGATAGCGTGTTCCCACTCATGACGAGTCCTCTTGCTTGCCATGGCGCGGCCGATGGTGATGAGAGCCAAGGGCAACCCACCACACTCCTTCACAACATCCCTGGCTAGCTGACGTATGTCTGGATCACAATTCAGGGTATCCTCTCCTACCTTCTCTTCAAATAGGTTGCATGCTTCATCATCCCGCAAGCATTCAACTTTGAAAATATTTTTAGCCTCCATCTCTCCACACACCTTTTCAGATCTAGTTGTGAATATCACCTTTGACTTGTTGTTTGATTCAGTGACGGTACTGGGGTGAGGAATTCCAATTTCCTCTAGATCAACTCGTTCCCATACGTCATCCAAGAGGAGCAAAAACTTTTTTTGACGGTTCAACAACCTGAAAATGACGGTAGCCTCTGCAACCTGGTTTGCATCTTCTTTTCGTGTAATCCCCAATTGATCGCCAATTTGCTTCCGAATCTCTGCCGTGTTTAATTCCTTGGACACAACAGCCCAGATAACAGGATCAAAATCACTGTTGTTTGCTGTTTTGACGAGAAACTCGTTGTTGATTTTTTTTAGAAGGGTTGTCTTACCGATTCCCCCTGTACCGTATAACCCAATAATTCGAGCAGCTTGATTTTCTCTGATGCAACTACACGCCTTCCCAAACATCAAGTCCATGCCCTTAATTGCTGGCAGAGGAAATTCTTCTCCATGAAGTGCACTCCGCTTGTAAGCCAAGTCACTCAAATTGAAACTCTTACCTTGGTTGATCAATTCCAGCACATTTGATAGCAATAAAGCTACTTTCTTACCGAGCTTATAGCTTCCACAGCAGTTCTTGGGACAGTAATCTCCAAGACAGTGACAATCGTTAGCAATCCGCTGAGAACACTGATGTAACATATTCTGGGCTTCCCCTTCTTTTTGTTCTACACGATGCAGCCAGCGATCCACTTGATCTGTACGTGTCATTCCCCTCGTCTCTGCTTCCTCCGCTCTTCTCTTCACCTCATTTCGTAAATCCTGCAATTCCTCCAACCGGTCACTCAGAGATTTTTGATTATCTTCCAAGTTGCAGACATAGGTTGAACGGTTAGGCCCTCCAATGCAAGTCCAGCATTGGAAGACAAGATTGCACAACGACATCGGGTCAGCCATGGTGCACTTTGGAGATTCTAACAACTACAAAGAGGAAAGGAAGGAGCAGTTGTAAATTTGGTTATTCCTCTACAAGTGTCCCAAGTGTCCAGAGACATAAATTTGAACCAAAAGCCCACAAGTGTATCTTCCTTGGTTATTCCCCTATACAGAAGGGTTACTATTGTTTTGATCCAAAGACTAGCACTTGGTATGTCTCAATGGATGTCACATTTGATGAACTTTCTCCCTTTTATGATTCTTCTTTGGAGAGACATTGTCCAAAGGGGGAGGATTTGTCATCGGTGTTTGTTATTTCTCTTCCTGTCCTAGTTGAATCTTTAGCTAAGTCTCTTCCTCCTTCAAATGAGTCAAGGGAGGATCAGTCACTTCACTCTTATTCCAGTGTTCCTATTCCTCCTCCTTTACCTCCTCGCCCTCTTTTTAATCCCAAGTTGTACCAACGACAAAAAACCAGAAATGAGCAAATTGTTTCGCCTCCAACACATGAGCATCATGCACTTCCAGTTACAGATGAGACAACAGGTACTGTTACAGACCCTTTGGAGCCATCCTTCCCAGACATTGATATCCCCATTGCTATTAGGAAAGGAAAAAGAAAGTGTACTGAACATTGCATTTCCAAACACTTTTCTTATAGTTTGCTCTCTCCTTCATATTTTTCCTACATTTCTTTTGTTGCTTCTAACCCAATTCCTAGGTCTGTGTCAGAAGCTCTTACTATTCCAGAATAGAGGGGATGCTATGAGAATAGAAATTGATGCGCTGCACAAGAATGCCACATGGGAAGTGGTTGATTTGCCTGAAGGGAAGGATTTAAAAGGTTGTAAGTGGGTTTTACTATCAAATATCATGTTGATCACACCATTAAAAGGTACAAGGCTAGGCTGGTTGCAAAAGGCTATACACAGACATATGGGATTGATTATCTAGAGACCTTTTCCCCTGTTGCCAATATGACTTCTGTGAGGGTTCTGGTATCTTCGGCTGCACACTCAGACTGGCCACTTTATCAACTGGATGTAAAGAATGCATTTCTGAATGGAGAGTTACATGAGGAGGTTTATATGTCTCTTCCTCTAGGGGTGTATGAAACAGATATGAAAGGAAAGGTCTGCAAGTTGAAGAAATCTCTTTATGAACTCAAACAGTCCCCTAGATCATGGTTTGAAAGGTTTAGGGCTGCCTTAGTTAGCTTTGGATATGTACAGACACAGTCTGATCATATCCTCTTTGTAAAGAGGAGATGATCATTGGTCATTTACCTGATCGTGTATATTGATGATATTATTGTGACTGGTAATGATGTCTCAGGGATTAATGATCTCAAATGTTTTATTCATACAGAGTTTGAGATCAAAGATCTGGGAGAATTAAGATACTTTCTTGGCGTATAAATTGCTAGATCCAAGGATGAGATCCTTATCTCTCAGAAAAAGTATATTCTTGTTTTTCTCTTTGAAACCGGGAAGACGGGTGCTAGACCAGTTGCTACTCCTATCGATATGAGCCATAAACTCTCTGCGTTATATGGAATATTGTTAGAAGATAAGGGAGTCTTTCAAAGACTACTTGGAAAACTTCTTTATCTATGCATGACTCGGTCAGACATTGCATATGCTGTCAGTTGCATCAGTAAGTTCATGCATGCTCCCAGGGATACTCACATGGCAGCAGAGCGGATGTTGTGTTGTTTGAAGGACTCCCCTGGAAAGGGAATTCCATTTCCTAAGCATGGCCATATGAACCTTGAAGCCTACACGGATGCTGACTGGGCCGGAAACATTGATGACAGATCCTCTGGGTATTGTAGCTTGGTGGTAGGTAATATTGTCTCTTGGAGAAGCAAGAAACAATCAGTTGTTGCTCGATCTTCAGTCGAAGCAGAATACAGAATCATGGCTCATGGAGTTTCTGAACTATTGTGGCTTAGATCCTTGATGGAGGAACTAAGTATTGAGCATGATAAGCCAATGATGTTATACTGTGATAATCAAGCCGCCATCACCTCTGAAGGACAGTTAGTTGATTTCCTCACCAAGGGCATTCCAAAGACTAAACTTTAGCATGATACTGGCAAGTTTGGCATGGTTGACATCTATGCTCAGTTTGAGGGGGAGTGTAGAGAAGATGGGCCGAATGGCCCATAGGATGTTTATCCTTTTTTATCTTCTATGTTCTTTGTTGTAATGGGCCTTAATCTAGGCTTTATTCTTTCTTATATTATGTCATTTTAATTTTCTGCCCAACTAGGGGCTTCTTTGTAAATTACTAAAGTTTAACATAATGAAATAGAATTAAGGGAGTAAGGGAAGAGATTATGTTCAAAAATCTCTTTCTTTGAACCCAAGTTCTCACCTCTTGAACTCTAATTTCTACTGCTTTCTTTTGAATTTTTGCAACTTTCTAAATAGTCCTTTCTTTTCAAAAGGTTGTTTTTTTTCTTATTCTTTGAAGAGCCAAAATGGCAACTGAAGTTGAGATATCTTGTCGTAGAAACATTCCTTCACAAAGTTTAGTGCTAATAACTTTGCACAAGCAAAATGGTGAACGAACAAGTTGGAGAAACCTCTACTGCTGCAACATTCTTCACAAATATTATTAACATCTTTTCAACAAAGATCGATGTTCACATTGAGGTCGTTTTGTCTAAGATGCGATTGTTGTCGACGACGACAATGAGCATTAGCAGCAATGATAGATCAATCGATCAACTAAGGCCAGATTTCGATTTGTTCTTTTTTGCTTTATCTTCTATAAATTTTCTAGTGTTCATAGCTTTTTTCATTTCTTATTTTTCTTAATCTTTACTATAGGAATGGTTGCCGAATTTAGGTTCAGTTTTTTCAAAATTGTAGCCAACATATTTTGATTCAAAGTAATATTTTTGTATTTTAATTCACAAACAGAAATAGGTAGCTTGTTTTTTGGGTTTGGAACAACGAGATTTTGCTTCAAGTGTTCATCTTTCATTTATGCCCAATTATTTTATTTTTATTAGAATTAGATTTTTATGTTTTATGCTAAACTTAAACAGTTGAATTCGAATCGGTTGAATATTCGATTATTTGCTCTAATTCAAATTTAATTACTGATTTTAAATATTTGACCGATATCAAATCGAATCAAATTCAAATATTTATTTATGCAATCGTATTCGAATTCAGATATATCTTGATTCGTTTCAAATTCGATCCGTTTATACCCCTATACCCATTTTGATTTTGTAAAATAAAATATAAGGAAAAAGAAAAGAAAAACACTCCCAGCTCACATGTAAAGGAATCTGGCCCCGCGCGCGGGGTGACTATAAACACCTTGCCAACGCAAGAAGCCAAGAGGTCCTTAAAAAAAAAAAAAAGAAAAACTCTGATTGAGATTTGAGAACGTGGTGACAGGTCATGAGTGGGGACATTCTTTGAATTGCAATCCATGGATGCGTTTTGGTTTGTCTTTGATTCAAAGAAAAATAATGGAAAAATAGAGAGTTGATGGAAAGTCTTTTATAAGGTTTCTTTAATACCATATACAAATTTAGAAAATTTTAAACAGGGCTGAAGGTTATTCTTATGAGAAGGGTTGTAGATCAATCCAAATCTAACACAACCTAATCTTTAAAACAAATGTTGGATTAGGTAAGGGTTACTAGCGGAGATTCATGCGATGTGATGCATGGGAATATCTGAATGATTTAATAATTTTATTTATTATTAATTAAAATTATATTAATAATCAAAATTTGCTGTTAATTAATTAAAAGTATTCAAAGTTATTGTTAATATCTAAAATTTTAATAAATGTATTTTCATTTAATGTTGATTTACAGAAAATAATTGTTGTTAATTTAATATGAATAAATATTTTTTTATAAATTTAGTTCTGTTAATAATTTATAGTATTTTAAAAATTGTTATTATTTTTAAATAAAATTTTGATTAACTTTAAATAAATAAAAATAATTAAAATAACTAACATTTTTTATTAATTTCACTAACAATTAACAATTATATAGGAATGACAATGGAGTGGATTCAGGGTAGGGCACTCCATCCTTGTCCCTGGCCCATAGTGAAGATACTCTACCCCAACCTTGCCTCATCCCGAGTGTTAGGCGGGTTCAAGGCAAGGCAACAACTCCTCAATGTCGGACGAGTTTAGGGACAAGGCACCCCACTCCTCATTAAGGATGGGGAATCCTCAAATTTCCCTGCCCCCTCCCCAGTATTGGGCAGGTTCAAGTAAATGTGTAAATCAGGTCGTGGTGGGTTGAGCTATAGGCCAGGCTAGGCCGCAGACCGGACCAAGCCATGAGAGGTCCATTTTAAAAAAAATTAAAAAAGATCTTTAAATTTTATTTTATATGATTTTTTATGTATACAATTATTTATATATAAATTAGACCTATTCATGGGCCAAGAAGCTTGACGGCGTGCCTGGCTTGACCCATTACTTTTTAGGCTTGAACAAAATTCCAGGCTCGTGGGCTCAAGCTTGGGCCTTCTCAAATAAGCTCGGCCTAATACTATTACATATATAAAAAAAATACTTATGTTATATATAATAAATATAATATATAATACATATATATGTTTCTTAAATTATTAATAAATATCAATTTACTATTAGGAAATATAAATTAGTTTATTAAATTATTACTAAATTAATATAATGTTAGTTTATAAAAGTACGCTGAAAATAAGACATTTTGTGTACATATCAGGCTTCGAACTCGGACTCGAGCTTCAAGTTTTATATAAGGGCTAGGCTAGGGCTCAAGATCTAGGCCCAATGGTCGGGCCGGGTTATATATATATAACATTTATGTATATATATTAATAAAAAAAATTTATTTAAGTATTATATAATAATATTTACCATAAATGCATATAACTTCCAAGTTGAGCCTATTATGGGTTGTTTAGCTTGGGCCCTATTTGCTAAAGCCATCATTGGACTCCAAAAGTTTGATACCCAATTAGACTTTGAATATGATTATCCCTGATAATGTGTAGGCATTATGTATATCTCAGCTAAACCTAACACAAAAGAAAATA